CTGCTGGGAGCCTTTGTCTGACTTCCCCCTTCTTATTGAATCAGTAATTCATTTAACAAACTGATATTAGATTACCATTGAGCAAAATCTACATTGTGCATGAGAGTCAGAAAGCCATTCCACAAAACCACTAGTTGTGGGGTCTTGAGAAAATCACCTGTCCTTACTGGCTCTCGGTAGTTATAAATGAGCCAATCATTGATCTGCAAGGTCCCTCCCATTGTAGGTTTCAGTGCAAACCTGTAATTATTGTTTGGGCTGTCTTTCTGTCTTAAATATTTGATTATTAATCTCTTCTTTAAATGAATAAAGAGAAGAAAGTGAGTCAATTCCCTAAATAGCTCAACTCGACTCTGGTGGGTAAGAGTCACGTAAGACAGCAGGTTCCAAAGATGGACTGGAACAACATAGGACCTGAAAGAGGACTAGGACACATGAAAGGAGATCCTAGAAACAGAAGAGGCAATAGAGGGGAGGAGGTCAAACTTTTGGCCTAAGTGCAAAGTGTAACAGACTGTATGTTTTTGTCTTGAGAGCTCTGACTTCCCCAAGGCTCTGATCTTTTTACTACCGCCACATATAAACATATATTCTTTCTCTCCCAAGAAAGGAGACTGTGATAAGGTGTACATAAAGAGGAGGATACGCCAGAAGAAAACAAAGAGGATCCACGTAGACTGTATATGATATTAAAACATGGTGAATTACAATTTTCTTCTATGATAAAACTTAGTGTCTTTATCAGTGCTAATCTAGAGCACTGTTTAGTTCTTCTGTTCATTTTTTAATCAGGATGGGTTATTTTTGGTTATTAAGTTGTGTAAGTTCTTTATAAATTTTGAATATTAACCCCTTATCTGATATATATAGAGAGAGGTTAGGGGTCTCCCCTAAGCAAGGGAGGCCCCACGAGCCTAGTTACAGTGGATGATGGCACATAAACTGATAGCCCAGTGGAGATTCATATTATGAACACACCCTGGCCCAAGTGGGGGATCCCCTAGGCAAGATAGGCCCCACTAGACCAGATAGATTCTACACATTTCATATATATATGTATATATGTACTCATATGTGTGTGATATGTGTGTGTATATATATACATACACACACACAGAATTTTTCTCTTATTCTGTAGCTTGTCTTTTCGTTTTGCTATTTTTTTCTTGTGCTGTGTATAAACTTTTGAATTTGATATAGTTCCATTTGTTAATTTTTACTTTTGCTGTTTGTTTTTGGCATCATATCCAAATAATCATTGCCAAAACCAGTATCGATGAGTTTTTCCCCTACATTTCCTTCTAAGAATTTTGTGGTGCCAGGTCTTATGTTTCAGTCTTTTTTTTTTTTAAAGATTTATTTATTTATGCAAGAACTGGGGTACAGGCCAGAAGCGCGGGAGGGTGAGAGAATTCACCAGAGACGGAGCGGGGAACAGAACAGGCAGGCAACCAAAAACACTGCTGAAGGGAGCAGCGGGCAAGACAGGAGAGGTCTTCCATGCCATGAGGGTATCTCCCTGGCTAGCCGGGAATCGAACCTGTGCTGCAGAAGCTGCGGACAGCTTCACAGTGCTGCACTCACCCTGCTGTGCCACCAGGGAGGCCCTAATGTTTCAGTCTTTAATCCATTTCGAGTTAATTTTTGTGAGTGGGGTAAAAAAGGGTTTGAATTTCTTAATATGTCTCTCTGGCTACTCCTTTAAGGCTCCTTAATACGCTTTTCTTCTTTACTAAGGAGTATAGCAACTAATGGTCCTCCCTGGTGGCAGAAGGGGTTAATCAGAGCATAATCAAGCAATCCGCAGCCATTGCAGCACGTGTTTGATCTCTGCAGCCAGCGGGTGACCCATATGGCACAGCAGACCTCTCCTCTCTCTCCCACGTTTCCCCTCAGCAGTGTATTTCAGTCAGTCTGCCTGTTCTGTTCCCCACTCTGTCTCTGATGAATCCCCACCACCACCGTCTCTGGCCTACATACCAGCTCTTGTATGCATAAATAAATGAATCTTTAAATAAAAAAGAATGGCACAGTTTTCTCTTCTTTTCAGCATTAAACAAAAAAGTGCTAATATGGAACTATGTAATTGGAGAAAATGGGCACAAAATATGGGCTACAGAGGGATGAGAAACAGGCAACTGGACGAATGCAAAGATGGTTCACAAAAAGAACTAGGAGGGTTTGGGATTGAGCAAACCCTCCATCCATAAGGAGTCACAGAACAACACATGTACTGAGGAGAAGGAAGCTGGAGTAGTTGGGGAAATGTAGTACAAGAGAGAGGGTAAATAAAGTAAGAGAATGGAATAAAGAAAGAAAGAATAACAAAAATATAGTAATAGAAAAAAGTGGAAAAGAATGGGCCAGCGCTAACCATAACTGAAGGCCATCGACTGGGGGCAGAGGCAGCCACACACAATTGCTTGTTTGGGGCTAGTCCTTGGGGATGGTGATTAATGCAAAAAAAAAAAAAAAAAAGCCAGATGATTTGATGAAATCACATCTTCAATATTTTTTACTTTGTCATTCTACATTTAAGCAGAATCACAATAACTCATTCTATGAGGCAAATATTACCCTAATACCAAAATCTAGCAAATGTATCACAAGAAATTTAATCTATAAACAAATACTCCTGCTGAATACAGATGTAAAAAGCCTCAACAAAATACTTGTAAACCAAATGCAGTAATTCATATGTTGGATTACATACCATAACCAATTGTGATTTACCCGGGAAATGCAAGGTTGGTTTAACATTTGGAAATCAATCAATAAAAATGACTACGTTCATCTCAGTAGGCGAATAATAAGCATTTGACAAAAGCCACCACACTTTCATGATGAATATGCTTGATATACAAGCAATAGGGAGAACTGAGCTTTTTCAACCTAATAAAAGTCATCTATAAAAAAATCACCACATTATTGTAGCCCTTCCCTTATATTTGTGCAATGAACAACTGCTTCCTCCAGAAATGGGTCCGATGAGACTCAAAAAACAGTCTAATGCAACAGAGACAGAAGTATTGGAGCGAAAGTAATAGGTGAATGGATGGCTTTGTTTTTCCAAAGTCCTCTTCTATAATTGTGCATATTTAAGGAAACAGACTAGCCCCCTCATACTCTCTTCCATTATAATAAGTTGGGAAATTTTTTTTTCGGGTTTTTGTATTTTTAATTATTTTTATTTTTTATTTTTATATTCCCCATACAATTGCAATCCCCTGATTTTGACCCCAATCCCTCCTTTCCCCCCCCCCCACCAAAGTGTGTCTCTGGTTCATAGTTGTTTGTTGATTTTGATTTTTTTCTTTCTTACAGTTATTCTTTTTTCCTGGTCCCTTATTTAGGTTTTCTAGATTCCTGTTATAAGTGAGACCATCCGGTATTTTTCTTTTTCTTTCTGGCTTATTTCGCTGAGCATGATCCCTTCCAGCTCCATCCATGTTGCTGCAAATTGCATGTGTTTATCTTTTTTGAATGCTGAGTAATATTCCATGGTGTATATGGACCACATCTTCTTGATCCAGTCATCTATTTTTGGGCATTTGGGCTGTTTCCAAAGCTTAGCTATTGTAAATAGTGCTGCTATAAACATAGGGGTGCAGGTGCTCTTTGGAATTGATGTTTCTGTGTCCTTTGGGTAAATACCTAGGAGTGGAATTGCTGGATCATATGGAAGCTCTGTGTTTAGTAGGTCCAGAAATCTCCACACAGCTCTCCATAGTGGTTGGACCAGTTTGCACTCCCACCAGCAGTGCAGGAGAGTTCCTTTTTCTCCACACCCTCGCCAACATTTGTTGTTGCTAGTTTTTTTAATATGTGCCATTCTCACTGGTGTGAGATGGTATCTCATGGTAGTTTTGATTTGCATTTCCCTGATGGCAAGTGATGTTGAACATTTTTTCATATGCCTGTTGGCCATTTGCATTTCCTCTTCAGAGAAGTTTCTTTTTAGCTCTTCTGCCCATTTTTTGACTGGATTATTTTCTTTGTTGTTGTTGAGTCACATCAGCTCTTTGCAGATTTTTGTGATCAGTCCTTTATCATTAGTGTTGGGTGCAAAAATGTTCTCCCAGTTGGTGGGGTTTCTCTTTGTTTTTGTTATTGTCTCTTTTGCTGTGCAGAAGCTCTTTAATTTGATGTAGTCCCAGCTGTTTATCTTTGCCTTCACTGCTTTGGGTGATAATTCTATAAAGATGTCTTTGAGGTGCATGTCATGTAGGGTTTTGCCTATATTTCCTTCTATATATTTTATGGTTTCAGGACTTATGTCTAGTTCTTTAATCCATTTTGATTTGTTTTTTGTGCATGGTGTGAGGTAGAGTCAAGCTTCATTCTTTTGCATGTAGTGACCCAGTTTTAGTTGGGAAAATATTTTAAAGTCTTCTAATTAGAGTATAATCAATTTCCAATTCACATGTGTAAACTTAACCCATTCTCAGTGAGAGTTGGCAAATAAAGAACACAGAGCTACTTCTGTCACTCATACTAATATTTAACAGTTCTTGTATTAACATGCCAGTAATAATTCCCAATATTTAACTCAGATTCCTCATGTTTCATGGAAACTAAATTAACTCTTTTTATATTTTCAGGGGAAAATGATAAGATATATTGTTGACTTAACATTTGGAAAACAATGCCTACAAGAAAAAACACTGATAAGGACTACAATTTATTCATAAGATAACAGATCATCAATTTTCAAGCATTTGAAATCCCTCCATAGATATGGTTGCCCTTAACTGGTCACAGGATTCTGGGTAAAAAAACATAAAAAGTATGGTGAGATAAGGAAATAGAATTTATGGCCAACACTTTGTGTTAGCAAGGCCAGATGAGGAATCAGGCCAAGTCACGGCATCCCGCAAGCTAACAACGTAATGAGAAAGACTCGGGCAAGAACCACAAGCAAGCAGTGGCTTACCCCTCCAAGGGGTAAAGCACTTTGGAAAACAGATGCCCAGTGAAACATCCTCCTCCGATTACCTTACCTAACTGAAATTGATTGGAGACATTCCCACATGTTTGCATTATCTCCGGGCTGTTCCATCCTAAAGGATATAATGCACAGCCTGAGCTTATCAGCAGCCCTGGAAAGAAAAGCATACACGTAGGTAGAAAAGAACAATAACTGGTTTTCTGTTACCCCAACATTCTCTCTGGATTAGCTTATCTAAAATTCCACCTCCTCCTCTCAGAGGCTACCTTCCCTATTTACCCTAAATGTCGATGCCACTTCTAACTCAACAGGATTTCTTTGCATGTTCAGAAGGTGAGCTGTGGGTAAATAGCAGACAGGACAAGTCATAAAGAAAATGCAATGTTGGGAATTGAGAAAGGCCGAAGTGCTTTTTACAGACAAAATATTTTTGACAATGACTTACAAAACTAAGTTGACCTCCCTCTTCTTCATTGCTCTGATTTGCAAAGAAAAACAATGTCGAAACTGCTACTCTTTCCTAAAATTTGGACTTTTCTAAGTGTCAAGTACGTGCCTCTAGTTGAAGGCAAGTCATGATTTCTTTAACTTGGAGTCAGCTGCCAAAGTGAAATCTATAAAAAAGCATATACAGGGCCTCCCCGGTGGTGCAGCGGTTGAGCGCTGGGTCGCGAAGCTGCCTGCAGGCTCTGCAGCGACAGTTTGATCCCCGGCTGCTCCCCTGCCACCAGAGGAGGGTCCCATGTGGTGCGCAGACCTCTGCCCGCTGCTTCCCTCAGCAGTGTACTTCGGTCCTTCTGCCTGCTCTGCTCCCTGCTCTGGCTCTGGTGAGTTCTCTCACCTTCCCGTGCTTCTGACTGTACCCAGTGCTTGTATAAATAAATAAATAAATATTTTTTTTTTTAAAAAAAGCATATACAGGTCACCCTTGAAAAAGACAGGTATGAACTGTGCAGGTCTACTCGCATGCACTTTTTTTTTCTATTTGCGGGTTCCACATTCATGGATTCAACCAACTGTGGATTCCAAGGGCTATAAGTTACATGTGGATTTTAAACTATGTGGGTAGTTCACACCCCTAACACCTGCATTGTTCGAGGGTCAACTATATATTGCCTAGGCTCATCCTGATGAACAGCACACCATACTCCTTCCAAAAACACTTCTCTATTCTGAGAAATCATTCCTACATCATGCCCAGAATTCCTCTATTCTTTGGCTTCCATACCTTCCATGATGCCCCTTACCTTGATCCTGGTTTGGTTTAGGTCAGTTACACACTCGAGGGAAACTCTCTGGATCTTAACTCTCTGACTAGAGATACAAACCTGGGTCTGCACGCCTGCGCTACCATCGAAGGGTGACTGTCTCATTCACAGCTCTCACTTACTGCCTAGCTTTTCACACTTTATAACCCTGTATTTGGTCAAGGGGGATGGACCAAGCATTGGTATCTGACACCAAAGCAATCAAATTCATTGGCAGGCCGGGAATGGTATCATAACCTGGCCTGAAGAGATAAGCTAGACCAATTCTTGTTTCTGAAAATACTAATCAAGAAACATAGAGAGGGGGCCTCCCTGGTGGCACAAGGGGTTAACACGCAACCTATAAAGCTATCCACAGGCACTGCAGCACTAGTTCGACCCCTGGCCAAGGAACTACCCACATGGTGCAGCAGACCTCTCCTGTCTCGCCCGATGCTCCCCTCAGCGATGTATTTCAGTCAGTCTGCCTGTTCTGTTCTCCACTCTGTCTCTGGTGAATCCTGTCACCCTCCACACCTCTGGCCTGTACTCCAGTTCTTGTATGCATAAATAAATTTTAAAAAAGAAACATAGAGACGCTGAGCTTGTTAGCAGACAGAGGAGAAGTTAGGAAAAAAATGCCAGGAGGTAGAATCAGGTCTGTGTCAAGCTGAAGTCAAATTCAATCCAAAGTTATGAGAAGGCATAAATTCTGGGTAAGGTATGAAAACTTATTGGTAGAAGAAGAGAACAGAGTAGCATGAAGCAGGCACAACATGAGAAAATCCCCCATATCACCTTTTAAATGAGCTAGAGAGAATCCAGCTGTTCCGATGGCTCTCCAGTTCCACTTTTCTGATTATAATATCCCTTTTCATTGAGAGAACTCAAGTCAATCTCTTCTACTTGCAACCAAGAGAGTCTAATTATAAGATTGCTATATGTGGGTGCCACATCAGAAGTCATGGGAGGGTTCTCTGCACAGATGTGGATGCAGAAACCAACACATGACACAGAACTGCCACAGGGAAGGTGCTAGATCATATATATAGGTTTCAGAGCTCCTGATCAACCAGGTAGTGAAAGGCAGACCGCTCTAGGGACTGATTGCTTCACTTCCATTATTCTTTCATGAATGAAGAGTTCATACATACTCTGAGAAGCTAAGTCCTCTTTGCCTTTAGATGAATCCTTTTCAAAGATCTCAATGTATTCTCTGAAGCTGTCTGCAATATGGCAACCAGTTTTTCTCAATACTCAACTAAACTGGAGAAAAAGACAAGGACCCCCAAAAATAGCTACAAGAATTTAAAGACAAAAACAAAGAGACTTTTCTGACAGTGAGAAAGTACTTAGAAACTAAAAGAATGACCAATTAATGTTATTAGAACTTCCCTCAGTGGAATGCTTAAAATGAGAAGGCATTCTTATCTGTGTTGTAGTCTTAAAGGAAATGAAACTGATCAAAGACTTTTCTAGGCTTTGGAATTTATCAAATGACAATGGAAAAACATCCCCCCCTTTTTTTTTCACCAGAGATAAACTGAAATCTTATAATACAAGGAGGTACTAGCAGAGTATGCACAATGCGTTAAGGGGAAAAAATGGGAATTAAAACCAAAGCCTTTTCCTGCTGCCGTTGTATACTCTGGGAGGGGAAAGTTAACAAAATGTGAGCTTTCCCATACAAAATAAGAAGAAAAGCAAATTTATAAAATAATATCACCTCGGCTTTCCAGACTCTTTTCAGATTCCTGGGCCCAGTGTGAAGTCTGACTTGTCAAGCAGAAAGTAGGGCTGGCCTTGTGCCTTTCTTGATGTGGCAGGGGGTACCTTCTTTGGTCCCCTTGTTCTCCATACCTTACCTTGCTAAGAAGCTCAGATCTGGCCTTCTCTCCTCCAGGAGACCTTTCCTCACCATCCCCAGCCCCCCTCCCTTGCCCAAGCTCAGTTATATATTCTTTTTCCCTGTTCCCATAGCATCCTACACTCTCCTGTGATTAAAATACACTCTGATATCAATCTTACACAACTGTTTCTCTACTTCCCTCACTAGAATATGTATTCCTTCAAGGGAGGGTCCATTTATTCCTCAACTCTGTACCCCTGGTTCCTGGTACATAACAACTGCTCAATAAGTGCATCTGTTTCCGAATATGCCCTGCCTTCCTAGCATGCAGCTTCCTTTGCCCACACTGCCCAAAGACCAAGGCGTCTGAAGGGATCTCCATGATAGGGATGGGAAATCATCTTAGATACCTGATACAGCCATAGAACATAAGGGAGGGGAAAGCTTTGGAGATTACCTAATCCAGTCCTCCCTGAGACCGAGAACAATTTACCCAATTGCTACGTGATTTACTGTCACATAGGCAGTTGCTGACAACACTTTTTCTCCCTAATCAAAGAGGTCATCAACCCTTAGAGATTTTGGCCTTCTAGAGACAGGTGCCCAGAAATGACCTCCTTTGGGCAATGATATCTCCAGCAAGAATTAGGAATTTTATAGGCACTAACTCCAGAGATACCACACAACATGATGGCTTAAGAGAACTATAAACTTGTAAATTGCTGAGAGTAGATATTAAATATTCTTGTCACACACCCAAAAATGGTAATCATGAAGTGATGTATGCTCTCTAACCTTATTTTGATAATCATTTCACAACACATATGTGTATCAAACCATCATGTTGGACACCTTCAACTTACAAAACGTACGTAATTATGGTAAAATACATGTGGAAATTTAAAAGAAAGAATGGATTCTGTGGTTAGCCGAAAACTTAGTTCAAATTTTAGCCCTGCCACTAAGAGGTGGTGTGACTTCGGCACTTATTTTAATCTCTGTGTCCCTCAATTACCTCATTTTTTTAAGTTTAGACTAACAATACTCTGTTTTCCATGACTGTATCAAGAATTAACACTTTTAAAGTGCCTGGCACATAGAAAGTGCTCAACAAAGATTTAACAACAACAGCCTCTCCTATTGCTCCTCTCTCACTTTCTACCTACATTCTCCATGCTAATTCCTCCTGTGCTTGTTTGTCCTAATAATAAAAAGCTGAAAAGTCTAAAGTTGAACAGGGCTCCATTCCAAAGCTGCTGGGTTGGAGTTGCTGTCTTGCAAATTTTCAGAGGCATCAGGCCAAAGACCAGGGTTCGCTACCAGTCATGTGTTCTGCCCAGTGCACGTGGCACATACTATGCCCAAGATCCGCAATCACCTCTCCTATCCACAAGCCCCCCTCCTGCCTTTCGGTCAGGTGGGCACAGTAGATTGTACAGAGATTCCACGGAGTACTTTGACAGCTAATTCTAGCACATTTGATCACAACTGGAGAAAGATGTTCTAGGAGGCATATTAGAAATAAAAATGAAGTTATGGGATCGTTTATCCCCAATTATAGTTGCCTCCAAATATTTCTCATCAATTGGGAATTGTGAAAATGTGCTTCAAGTAGCAACCCAGAAGTCACTGGCCACTGCCAGACCCTCCCATCTTCTGAAAGAGCGATGGTTTAAATAAAATGTAGGTTCTTGGGCCTCACCACAGATATTTTATTCAATAACTGCAGCCCATGAATATGCATTTCAAAAGCCCTCTAGCAATTCTAACGCCAGCGTTGGTCCTAGTACCAACACTTCCTAAAAACACCACAGAAAATATTTCAAGTAGGAGCATCGAAGGCACAGAAAAACAATTTAAATACCCGACCTGCTGCATAACAGCTGCAACCCCAGCTCTCACTTCTCTCCATGTCTTCCTAACTCCTGGTGTTGTAGCCCCTCCAAACACATGTGCCCCTTGGAGAAGTCTCTCCCAACTACATATGGTCCATGGGACTCTTTTTTAGTCTCACCTGCCTCTAGGAAAGGAAGGGACGCCCTTCAGTGTGTTCCG